CAACTTTTTAGATCCTTCACTGGAGGTTCCATAACAAACTATCGGTGATTGTGGTCGCACATCACAGTGACGGTCCACGACAAAAGAAGTGCGGTCCAAGCTGAAGAAACTGTTGGAAACCACGTCAATCGAAGCGGTTGTGGAATGGCAAAGGAATGTAGAATCATTTTTCTTATGCAGCAAGCTATTGCCAAAAAGTGTCCCATGAAAAAGTTATTGCGCACGTAACTTTATTGTTTGACTTTCAATGAGAGTTATTATTGCAGGGCTTTGTATGTCTATATCTGGGGTGTTTCCTAACTCAGTCTATTTGAGCATATTAAGTACTGATAATGAAATTCATTTCGTGAGCTATTTCATGAACTTACGAGAGTTGACACTTTGACCACCCTGCTTACGTGCGTGTTCCAGCTCCACGAGGATTTACGCCCCACCCCGTGGCCGAACTGCGCTTTGAACTACACCTGTAGTGGATCACTTTCAGGAGAGTCCATTTTCCTTTGTGACATTCCACGTAATGAGTGAAAAATGTTGTTCCGAAAAACGAAATTATCAATGAGGCGCAGACATTCAACGAATGAAAACTATTTCTTCGAAGGACCAGCTCTAACAACGAAGGTCGTTTGGGCATGGCGCGCTTTTTGAAGCGGTTTCCTGCATATTGTTGAGCTTATACAATAATTTGAAAGAAAGGCGAGCTTCATTTTCGCTGCGCGACTCCAGGAAAGATAAAAAGGAGCAGAGAAACTGCTGAAAACTGCTCTCGACCTCTATGCGCTGTGAATCACTTTCAACTTTTCCACTTGCTGACTGACGACTCTTTTAATAGGACCATTGATATCAGGGTGAAAGATAGATGTGAATGGGATTTCACTTGTGGCAGGGGCTCAGCAGTGAGCGATGGTTCCTTCAACAGTCGGATCTGTATCCGCCGCCTGTGATCGAGTGGCCTAGAGGATGGCGCGTTGGATTCCGGATAATGAGGTGAGGTTGCTATTTAGGTTCCGCTAGGCCAAGAACTTCTACTCTTCTTTGGTTCAAAAGCTACTCTTTCGAGCATGTACAGTCTAAGAATCGCGTCAGCAGGAGTGGTAGACATCGTGTCCAATGAAGCCCGTCCCGCGTAATGATTGATCGACTAGTGATCGATTTGGGAAGAAAACAGCCAGGGTTGGGAAAGTCGCAGGCGGATGCCGACTGATTGCGACCCGACTAGTTGCGGTGATATAAAATGTATGTCTGTGCATTTATTGACATATTCTGAATAGCAATACCCAATGGGTCGGTGCTATTCAACTATAGAATTTTTACCTAACATTGAGCAGACCAGACCTTTAGGGGCTCAGCAGTATCCTGAATTGGGGCTCAGTTCTGGCTACGGTGTAAGTTGTTGCCGCTTTTGAGCTCATATTCATCTCTCCGAATGCACTGTATGCGCTCACATTTATTTATTGATTATATGCTCTCTAGAGACATGTTAAATCAACACGGAACATAAAAGCTCACATGAAAAATTCAGTGTTTAGTTCTTGACAGAAAGTTTCGACAAGAAGTAAAAGAAGCTGTTCATATAAGGAGAACGAGACAAGTGCTCTTGAGCAGATAAAGCATGAATAAGCGAAAAAAAAGAGAAAGAGCGCAAGTGTGCAGTACAAAAGTGGTGAGAAGAATGAGGGAAAACAACTAGTTCACTTTTAGAGACAAGGCGATGCTTTCGTTTCGAAGCTGGCGAGTTTCAAAGGAAAATGACTGTTCTGCAGAACTTGACGCTGACGAAAGAAATGGCTACAGGGAAGACTTGGCGTTTTCAGGGCGACACTATCGCCTGATGACTTTGACAGCTAAAATAAAAAGGCCTGCTCAGCCTGCGAATGCCACTAGACCCCACAGATGGTTCTGAAAGGACGTGACTGAGGTGGTTTTTTCATTTTCGTCCATGGGGACGGAGTCAGATTCGAGCATTTATTCGTTAATCGGCCCTCGGTACCGCTCCCTAAGGCTCCTATGCAAAATTCTTCTCCCTAACACAGCTGAAAGCTTCTCACACTTGATATCCTAAATAAGTGTCCTTCTTTTGAGGGTGAGAAAATATATGCCTCATGTTCAATAACTGGTCTGACATACACTTTGTAAATCCTGATCAAAATGGACTCTTCAGCAGTGAGTGCCTGTGTGCCTTAGGTAAATGAAAAGACTTTGTTCGGCCTCTTCCTAGGCAATTGGAGTCAAAGCTGAGGCTACCATCAACGTGAAGCCGGGTCCTTGCTTTCCCTCATTTCGGAGACACGAAACATTCACATGATGTTAAAACATTATTTTACCTAAGGACAGTGTTTTGTTGTTCCCGAAACAGACAGGAAAACCTCTATTGACAGACCAACCATGAGAATACCAACTGTCTTTTGAATAGCAGAGGAAGTCAGAAGACGTAATGGCTTTATGGATCTTAGTATCATCGGCGAACATCTGACAGGTGGCCCCCTGGCTTTGAACATAAATGATAAAAAAATGTGTAAAAGAATGTTTGACAAAAGATGAGGCAACACCCAGTCTTGCGGAAAGCCGCTCGCAGCGTGTCTGACCGTAGAGAAGCAATCATCAGTTCTCATTGAGATATGGCGATGAGGCTAGAAAAGCATTAACCTACCAGATAATGCTACTGTGAATGCCCGCATACTAGGATCTACGCACCATGGGACAGAAGTTATATTATCGGCGTGTATTCTCAGGTCTATTTGTTATAATGAGACTTTTTAGGGTTCGCAAGAGATAAAGAGTTGCTTTTCATGTCGAAGAAACCTCATCGTTAAATCGATACCCTTTTAAACAACAGATACAGCAAAAGCGCACTGTACAGATAACATTCTTTACGAAATTGAAAGTGACAGTCATCGCATACAAAAGAAAGAAAGTCATCTGAAGCAAGAGTTAATCGAGAATGCGCTCACGCTTGAATAACATCGAATCATCTGGACATGAACAAAAATGAGGATCTGAACAGGCAACCTCATGAAAACACAATCGTTTTGGAACTCATTGGTTAACTTTCTGCTTCCTCGTTATCACTGACGGCTAGAGAACCGTCAGCTTTGATAAGGGTAGCAAATCTGTTTTTACAATGAACTCTAACACTTGATAAACTTGAATAGAGAGGGCTTGTCACGTAATTTGACAATTCTTTCTCACTCATGCGTTTCCGCACCGTTTTACGAACATTTTGTCGAACTGCGAGGGTGAAACCGATAGGATTCAAAATTATGCAAATCATCACGTTTCATAGCATTTTCATGGGCAAAAGTTTCGAAGTGAGGAAGCAATTTCTCCATACGTTTCATCTGTATCCCTACAGCAGCAATACCACCCTAACCAGTCAACATTTGACAGATATGAAAATTTCGAAGTACTCGCAATCCCCATATTCTCTTTTGGGGACGAGTTTCTGGTCCATTACTGAAAGTCTAAGATGAAAAGTAATTGTTGCATGATCGCTGCTGCCAACCAACTGATCGCATTTGTGAGTAAGAACAAGACCCAAAGGCTTTCAGGCGCTTTTATGGCGCCAGATTGCGTCGGAGCCAAAAATAAGAGTAGAATCTGGATCAGAACCATCGAATTACACAATTTGAAGGTTTCCGCAACGGAAATTGGCCGTTTCCTTTTCGAGCAGATTTCGCAGCGCACTTTCATTTTTCGGGTATTACATGATATAAAGCTAGAGATATATCGCGGTATATGATGTTCTCGAATCTTTTTCATCTCTACTCTCGTCGGCACTTAATAATGCTCAAGGAGAATGCTGTAGAGTCGCTGCGACTTCTTTTATTGGTCGAGTTCCTTGGCAAACATTTTCGGTAATGACTGTGAGGACATGTTACAGCGTGGCAGTTACCGCAGGATAAAACATCGTTTGTATTGGCCAGTTCTACCCTGTCAGCCCATCCAAAAAATTCTACCTTCTCGCTGCCAGCCCGTTTCGTGAAGACACACGGACTACGTCGTTTGACAACATTCCCATTCCCTTGTAGTATCCTATTTTGAACTGCTCTGAGGTTTTTACACAATCGAGTTGAGGCACAGCGGATGGCGGACAAATAGTTGAATGATGAGCCAATTCGCACAGTCTGACCACAACAATTGATGTCCTCATGAATGACTTCAAATTAGTCTTAGGTGAAGGGAAATAGAGCGGGAAAGAGGAAGACAGGCGACATGTCGGAAGACAGTCTCTAAGGCCACGCGACGTCGCGTCGCAATCTGCAAACACCGTGGGCTTGCAATGGAGCGCACACCGCGATAGTTCATTGCATTATTGCCATCTAGTTTCACTCGTTCGCTTCAGGTATCAGCCACGCTCACGCGCCTAGTAGATCGGACTGTCATGATCCGATTAGATTTTGTTTCTTTCGCGATAACTTATGACCGGTATACATCGCGCAATTCTATACCTGCAATGGGACGCTGCCTGCTCTAGTTAATTCAGCCTTACCTGCTGATCGTTAACCCCTCGACTGCTCACAAAAGCTTTGTGGGCAGCACACTCTCAGAAACTGAATTTATTGTCGTATTGCATTGTATTGTTGTGTATAATTTGTCGTGTTGGGGTACGACGGCTCTTCCTGGTGAAAAAAAATAGAAATGAAACGACATTCCGCTGCAGCATCAAAAAAACCATAGCGAGCGCACGCCGATCGTAACCTTGTCGCGCACAATGCCGTGATGTTACCGTCACACACCAGTCATGTGACATAGAGTAAGCAATCATCTCAGCTTTTCTTCTATGAGCTTTTCTTCTTACTGTTTTTTACTTCCTCATGATCATAATATGACGCTAGTAATGCTAAGGGCGACAAGGGCGCTTGGTGGGATAGTGTACAATTCTGAAGCTGTAGCTGTGTTTAGTTTCCTTGAGAAGCATCAAAGGGTCGAGACCTTGCCCGAACAATGCTGCCTTCTTCCAAATGACCTCGCAGAAGAAGTATCGAAACAGAATGTACTATACAATGAAGATGCTTCAAGGAATAGTGAAGGGAGGAAATCTGCTTTTTTATTTTGTGATATTTCGTGCCCCAAAATACGGGTGTATACGTGGGTTGAGAGTTTGAGTGGCACAAAACAGGATCGCTGCTGTGTGATCTATTTTCACTCATAAATCAGCTCAAGCAATTGCAGAGAAACAGCATCAATAAACGGTACAGTTTGTGGACAGCATCTTCACATATCTTAATGTACGAATCCATCAAATGAGCTTTTGAAATCAGTAGCCGTTTAGACTATCCTTCAGAATAAAGGACAAATTAATTTT